GCGTAAAGCCCACCATATGGCAGTAACGAATTACTGTTGTTACTTTCTAGTATATTGTTAAAAACTGCTACCACTATATAACCATTATCAACAGTGGATATTATTGTGATTGGAGAGTCAGAATAACGATAATAAGTGATATCATCGGTTTTTTTCATCTGTGTTAAATTTCCAGAATCATCACTATGTGATTATAATATTAAAACATAAATATAATAATAATATTAATCTTAAAATATTAGGAAAGTTAAATTACATCAAAAATTGCCGCCACCTCCAATATGTCTGGTCAGAAGCAAATCTAAGGAATCCAAGTTTCTTATTTATATTTAATTGAATTGTACTGTTAATCCAAACACCCAAAAACGTTGTACTGGTGATTTACAGATTAAATATTAACAATCGTTATTATGAAATTATAGAGTAAAAATAAATAAAATATAGATATACCTTCGACTATTTCCATCCCAATCGATGACATCTGCCCACTCTTCATAAGTTGTAAGATTAGAAGAATTTGTCGTTTTCACATAAGTTACTAGAATGAAAGGTTTTTGTAAAGGATATATTGAAGTAGGATTTATTATATTACGCAATATACTTGTGTTGTTATCTTTTAAATATGTAACTATATTGTTAAGTCTATTAATTTTGTATTCAGTATTATCGCTATTAAGTAAACAATAGTTTACAGGATGTAAATTTAAATTGGGATCGATCTCTTTAACAGATCCATTTAAATGAATAACTCTTAATGTAATTTTTGTTCTAAACTTATTCCTCGAATTTTTAAACAATTATCAGTTAATTGGGCCGAATCATTTCGTATAATGTGAACGAGAATTGATCCATCATCATAAGTTTTAATGTCTGCTACAAGTGATGGTGTATTCTCTATGTAGCTAAAATATTTATACTGTGATTGTTGTGATTTTGTTGATAGTATGACCAAGCAAATTATTAAATATTGTGCTATAATTTTATAAGGTTGCCTAAATATTTTCATCTCGAATTATTTTTATATCGTAATCTTACGAGCCTTAGAAAATAGATACATGAAAATATAATTTGTACTTTTTAATAGATTCTCTTTAGTTTTGTAAAATAATTTGGATTGGAGTCGGTCCAGTTGACTATTATGTTTAGTCGACTAACTATTCGATTAAACATAGTAATTAACTAGACTAATTTACAGTCGACTAAACCGATTCCAATCCTTAAATATGCCAATTTGGGGTAAATATCCGCTATTAGGTCGTCGATCAAAACGAGTATCGATTACTTTTTCAAAAGTTAACTTTTTTTATATAATTTCCGGAACGAAGAATCCTCAATTTCTATTATCAAGTGATACAAATTACGTTAACTCTCTTCAATTCTTCGGAGATCTGCCTCTGAACACTGCCTTTAAGATTGGTGTTTGGGTATGTGCCAACTGACTCATTGGTTCGTGGACTGCTACATTTCCTTTTTGATTAAAACGGAAAAGGTTAATCAAAGATTTATTTTACTGTATTGGCTATCTGAGCTGCTCGCACAGATATTGAACCTAGGTACCGCACAAAAAATGCACGACAAATCCTCGATTTTGATTGGCCAACGGCCGAGGATCTTCAAAATTTTGACCCGCATTACATAATTGGTTACAAGATTTTTTTGATATAAGAAGTTCTATCAAAATAATATCTATAACAAAAAAATAAACTAATATATAATTACAGTTGACCCTCTCAAAATTGGTATGCATGGTGGACAGATTTTGTATCAGTTTTGAGAGATTATCAGATTTGAAAACATTACAAACTATTAGATTTATATAACAGTCAGGGAAGATATCACATATGTTTATATATGAGTGTAAGTCTATAATAAAAATTACATATAAATTTACTATAAACTTTAAGCTAAAGATCCTTTTAAACCTACATATTAACTTATTTTCAAATTTTGAACT